GATCGATTTACAAGAGCACAATTGACGGAAATCCCAGACGTTCTGATCGCGACGGGAAAACCAGCGAAATGACGTCCTGAACTTGTTGGGGAGAACGGCAACGCTAACACCGGAAGTCGAATGGTGTCGTGTCCAGACTATTTCGCGCGCTCTCCCGTTCTGAAATGACGTTCCCGTCCTCTTGCTAAATCTCTCTATTAAAAGGGTCAGTGGACGTAGATAATTTTGACCATAAATTTTATTTTGTTGCAGCGAACTCTCGCAACGCGGCCGGCTCGCCTCAACTTCGTCAGCTGCAACTTTTCAGGTAATTAGGGAGGAAATTTCTCATCACTCTGCAGCTCATTTCTATTATGAAGTTAACCAGTATAGATAACGTCCAAAACAACATATCTTTTCTCGCGCGCTCTCCACAGTGTTTGTATTTTATACCGTTTTGCAGTATTCGTGATAAAAACGGACTTTGTTTTGTTTTTTTTTTAATGATGATGTCCTCTTGTTTGATCGAATGCTGCGCATTCGGAAGTACTGTGAACGTAAAGTATTTTCTTTAAGAACACAGCAGAATGACCCAGCCAGGCCTTGAACCCATCCCTTAAGATCAACCGCGCTTACCCTTGAGAGGATGGAAGGAGGTGACTTCCTAGCTGCAGGACGCGCGTTTCCCAGCCCGCCGTATTACTTAAGACGAGTCGAGAACAAGTTTGCTTAGATCTGGCACTAATAATAAGGTGTTAACGGTTCCAGACCGCTTGCAGACCTCTCGCCGCCTCGCGCTCCTCAAGGCCTCATACTTTCCTGAGGGAAAAGGAACGCTTAGAACTGCAGGCTATTGTTTTCCTCCCTCAGCGTTAGGTATCCAAAGGTCGGCTGATTTTGTTGATTGAAGTGTCCGCAATTTTTTATGATACTGTGGTCACGTCTTGCTGCATTCTTTTTCCAGGCATGAAATGCAACACTTTGTACATAATCTCGAAGGATACCTGTCAAACCAGATTCTTAATGTTACCTGGTCAGAGTTTCAAGAAGGACTTTTGAATGTAGGTGACCTGGGAATGAATTATGAATGTAAATGACCTGGGAATGAATAGTGAATGAGGGAGGCGTGGGAATGATTCAGCTGCATTACACTTTATATAATAAGCTGAAATATTCGGGCATTGTGATTGGTAAAACGTTCACTTTTTCGCGGCGTTTCTTGAATTTTTTTTTTTGTTTTTTTTCTGTTTTTTTTTTCATCAGGTGAGAAGCTTGGACGACTTGCACAACCAACACTCGGACTACCTCCGAAAAGCCATTTTCCGTTCCTTGCTCAGTCGTAAGGCTGCGCCTGTGATGACCATGATTAGTGACCTGGGCACGCTTATACTCAAACTGCGCACACAGCTGTTGGCGTCTCCGTGGCAACTAGACCCTGGCAGAGGGCACTTGACTCATCCCGCTTATGACATCATGTGTAATACTCATAAAGTGTTCAAAGAATACTCTACCTTTCTCTTCACAGGTGAGATGTTTCGGGAAATGATTTTTTTTTGTAAGTGTTTCTGCCTTCACAGTACTTTTGGACTGGAGAAGGT